TCCTTCATCCGTTTTATTTTCACTTAATGTCTTTTTGTTCCTGTCTCTTTCTCTCTCTGAATCTCTGTATCTCTCTCTCTTTCTCTCTCTCTCTCTCTCTCTCTCTCTCTCTCTCTCTCTGTCTTTCTGTTAGAACCACACATTGACTTAACAAGCAAAACATTGTCTTCCAAAGCATCCGACGTAATGCCACCAAAATTTTTAAGCTTTGAGCCTGAGAATATGGAGATCAACCCAGGCGATGACGTCAAACTGAAATGTTATGCCATGGGTACGCCAAACCCAGAAGTTCGGTGGTTCAAGGACGGTCAGCCTGTAGGTGAGCCAGCTGACAGGAGCAACGAACTCCTCCTTCAAGACGTTCGAGAGTCTACTGAGCTGCAGTGTCGAGCTGTGAACAGCGCAGGCAGCGTTGTGCAAGCAACCAATGTCACAGTCACCAGAAACTTGGGTAAGGTCAGACTGGCATGGTCAGGTAAAGCCACCAGAGATTCATTCTGTTAGGTTACCAGATGTCTGTGTCAGACTAATGTTTGGATAGTACTGCTTCATTTAATATTTTACGTTTTTGTTGGAACTTATGTCATTAGACACCCAATGACCTGTCACAATACCAGTCTACTATTCCTCATCATCATGCTACTCCTTACCAGAAGAATTATACAGTAGAAGCAGAAAATTTTTTATACAATTTCCCTTGTCATCTTTCAGGAGATTGCATTTATGTGTGGGCTAAAGTTTGCCTCTGAAAAGTGTCATTGGTGAGCAGTGATGAAGGCCATATGCATATGCAAAATGTCTGTGAAAAGTGGGAAGTGCTGTAAACGCTCTTATTTTCTGCGAGATGGAGATTTGTAGTATATTATATATACAGTTGAATCTGCCTTAACGGGAACTTGTCTCAGATGGAATATGCTTAGCCCACTCAGCCCTGACTTAAAACAAACCAGTCAACAACTCTAACCCATAAGACAGTCATGCCGCCAGGTGAAGAAGGGGAGTAGGGATGCAATTTGGGGGTAGATGTTACCCCATCCAATGAGCCCTTAGTAGTACAGATGGTCAGGGTGTTGTGGGTGTGAAATCTCACCAGTGCATGTGAAAGAGCTCAAGTGACGCTCCAGCACGGAAACTGTCATAGGGAGTCGGAGGCCAGATGCGTGAAGATAGTTTGACCAATGCCTGCCATCCTGATCCAGCTGTCAGCTGAGAAAAGAGTTCCTCAAATCAATGTTGCATTCATGGGAGGATGGCATTAATTGGCTGAGCTTATTACGCTGATGGGTGGAACTAAGGGTGGAAGCAAAGATGTTCAAATGTTTCTGTTGTTAATATGTCAAACAATGGTCCTATGAAATGAAAACTATGGTGGCAATGGATAAATAGGACTGACGCATGCCATTATCAGAGAGGATTGCCCATGAGTAGTGTGATGTTTTGACCACTGCTTGCCAACTGGACTAACGACCCTCGCTCCTATAGGCTGGGCCTCTGAAACCCCCCTATATCTCTCCATAAATTTCCCTGTCTAAGATGACATTTTTTTCTGGCTCCTGTGCGATTCTGTCTTACACATGTTCGACTGTATTCATCAAGAAAAGGTTTTTATTCTAACCTCAATTGATGTGGAAATGTAGGATTATGTTGAATCAAACTGATACAAATAGTCTTGCAAAGTATGGGTGACACTGATTCACCCGTGAAATAGATATTTGAGGATAAGTTGGACTACGAATTTTGTATTTCACTATAGAGTTCCGAGTGTTTTGGGGGGTTTTTTAATTGAGATACTCGTACAATGTAAATGGAACATAATCGAGGTCCTCAGACTGGTTTAAGGGAGAAGTAGGTAACTTTGGCTTTTTGTTAAGGTCAATAGTGACATGTCACAAGAAATTTTGTGTCTATGGGCATGTTGATAAGTTATACTTGAGACTAAAGATAGGTAACTGGGGATTTTGTTAAGGTAACAACATAGGGACAGTTGATGCGGTAGACTAATTAAATAGTGAAACACATTGCAGTGAAAGCAAACTAGTCATTAAAATTTGTTTCACAAAAGTAGTTATCTACCATGTTGGTTTACCTCTGTCCGTTTGCTCTATTTTAGTTTCCAGAGTTTAATGGTTTTCACGATTTTACAATCATGTCCATTTCAACTGTACCTTTGAATATACAAGTTTACTCACTATTTGGCCACTGGGATGCAAGCAATGAATAATATACTACAAGAGAAAAGCGTCTGCAGTTTCTAAAATGTTTTTCCACGTTTTCTTCTTTTCAGCATCAGGACTTCCATACTTTGTCACTAAACCTCCAGAGCGCGTAGAAGCAGAACTGGGGAGTAGCAAAACATTTGTGTGTAAGGCAGCCGGGGATCCAGCCCCACAACTCAGGATGATCAAAGGATCTGAGTCAGTAGCTGTGAGCAGAAGGGGTGAACAAGAGGTCACATTTGTGGACACAAGGGTTGATTCGTAAGTAATGCTCCCTCAAAATTTTAGGGGCTTTTCTTGGGGACCAGTGTACACCAACGGGAGATGCAACTTATTTAATGAAGGAAGAAATCACAGCATGGTGGTGTTGAGCTGTTTTATATTATATGTATGTGTGTGTCACGACATGATGAAATCGGGCACTGGTCAATTTTTGGGCTTGTGGAGTTATTGGTATTATCATAAAGCTTGTTCATCTTTCTTGCTTTCAATAAAAATAATGCCCATCTATTTTGACTAGAAGTAGAAATATTTGCACTTGAAGGAGGTGGGAATCGCTTGGTTTCAGAGGTAAAATTAACGAGACAGTGCTGAATCAGCGGTCGTTTCGTTTTGCCAGGCCGTATGCTGCTAGGGTAGCGTGACCGGGGTCAGCTGCCGGTCGGTCTACCTGTGCTCACTCCATGTGCGGGGTTACATACCACGACAATTTTACACAGTTTTGTTTCAACGCTCACGAATGAAAGCAGCGCTATCAATATATACATAGTGTTCCATCTTTGAGTTTGTACTTTTAATGTACAGTTTGTGAAAATGCAATGAAGATATCTAGTATAGTTTTTTAACTGCATGTGATCAAATACAGCCGTCTTATATGTGGTAATTAAGGTAATATACACCAAATTAAAAGTTATGTAAAGACCAAAGTGTCAGATGAACTTCACTAAAACTCGCTCTGAATAAAGACAATTAATGTGGGTATCTACTTACATAATTGTTGGAAGATTAGTAATCCACATTTTTGCATTTTCGTTCAACAGCCAAATTCGTTGGGCTTGTGATGAAATTCACATTACAGTATCTTTAATTATATTAATGACACAGATCTCTTTGCACATTTTGTGCAGTAGATCTATACGCTTATCTACGATGCCGTGGTTTTTTCTCCTTGCCTGCAGCCTCAATGCGCATTGAAGGTGCTCTCTGGAGCAAATGTGCGTTCATAACGTATTGTAGTTTTTCCGTATTGTTTACGATGCCTTGAGCCCACTTTTCAGTTTTTAAAATAGACTGGGGACAGCTTTCGGTTCCTTGTTCTCACAGCAGGCCCAAACCAAAGCGGTGTTGTGTTATGGATCGAATGCTGTGTTGTTCTAAAATGCACTGTTTGGGGATTTGGAAAATGTCTTCTGTACAGCTTCATGTATGTGTCAATTGCTGTCTGAATTCCTGTAATAGAGGTTTTCGGAATAGGTGCACTGTGTGAGATGTCATTATGAATTTGACTGTATGCTTGGTTGAGAGAGTCGAAAATCAAACCTATAGTGTGTGCTTTGTCAACAATGATTGGATGATAAAATATCCCTTTTCAGTGACTTATGTCTCCTAGCCTTTCTTTTCAGCCTCTATTGTACTTTAGTCACGTTCTTACACCCGCAAACACAACAAAGTTCGTTCAGGGAGGAGGAATGTCTCTCGTGTGTGTGTTCCATTGGGAGATTTCAGTAAACCTGTTAGAAATGAATCGCGTGCAAATGGATTCTACCTAATATGGTAACACGGTTCAATCAACAAAGATGACATTTATACACAATAAGCACAAGTATGTCTGCCTTTCATAGAAACAACAGTCTATGAAATAAACGGAGAAGTGTTGAACTTAAAACAGCATAGTATCCAGAATACACAATAGCACAGGCCAATTAACTAGGCACTGGATGAGAATCAGATGTAAGCGACTTAATATTGCAATAACTATTCTTCAAACAATAATGAAAATTATACACGTAAAGCACAAATATGTCTTCAGTGCATGTACCAAAATTTGTTGAGATTGAGCAGGCACTTTGGGAATTAAAAGTGAATTAAGTGCAGCACACATATATTAAATTCAATGAAATTCAGAACATTTTGCACACACTGTAATGTAACATTGGCAAATATCGTCGCATTGTGATCAGGTTTTCGCAGACTGAGAGGAGGAATCTTGCTCTTTTTTTTATTGTAAGGAACAATTTGTGGTTAGAGTGAAGGTACTGCCAATAATTAGTGTCAAAAGTGTCGATTACGCCGTGACCTGCCCGCCTGTAACTGATGTGCAACGGAGCGGCCAGTGATCCCGTGTAACCCGGCACGGAGCAGTTCGGACAGTTATTTAATTACTTCCAGATGTCGCTGGCCTCGGAAACTAAGAGGCACGATTTCTGCCAGTTTTCAGGGCTGTGGAGAAAATGGCCGCCAAAGTTTGGTGACTTCCAAAGCTTGACTGTCCTTGGAAACTGGAAATTTCCATTTTTTGTGCCTTCACTTGTTTTTCAGTAACATCCACACATAAATGTGTTCTTAAAAGGACTTAAAATGTCTGGAGCCAAAAAACAAAAATTTGAGCAAAATAGCTAAACTGGCAAAAACCGGGTGGCTTCTTCAATTTCAATGTTTTAACAAGCGTCTGATTTCACCATGATGCCTCTCTCCCTCTCTCTTTCTCTCTCTCTCTCTCTCTCTCTCTCTCTCTCTCTCTCTCTCTCTCTTACACATACACACACACACACAAACACACACACCCACACTCACACACACACGAAAACATACATACACACATAATATATCCATGATGTATACATACCATGGTGTAGACAATGACAGATTGCATTGCGTCTTTCACAGGAGTTACACCCTGAGATGTGAAGCCTACAACTCTCAAGGGACTGTCCAGGCTGTTACTGAAGTTGTTATAACAGGTGAGTGATGCTGAGTGCATTTCACTTGATAGAAAGAAAAAGAGAGAAAGAGAAGGGGTAGATAGATAGATAGATAGGTAGGTAGGTAGGTAGGTAGGTAGGTAGGTAGGGTAGGGTAGGATTGGGCAGGATAGGGTAGTTTAGGGTAGGTAGGTAGGTAGGCATAAAGTCATATCTCAGAAACAGATTTATCAACTATAAAATGAAAAAAAATACACAGAAATAGAAGTGTTCTAAAAGATCAGTCACCCGGACGAGTGCACCTGGATTACATGGAGAAGGATTCTTTATAAAGAAGCAAATAATATACATAAATGAAAAGGTTGGCCGTCACTTTACATCATAATAGGACTACGCCTGAGGATTCAACCCTCCTGGATATGTCCATATTGTGTTAAGATTTGCGAGTGTTGCTACATCTGAACAATCTTTTTAGATATATTCCCACTTTAATCTCAACTCAATTTGGTCTGTATGATTTTTCCACTGAAAGTATATACAAGGCTATGTGCATGCCCTTATAGATGACAGAGAAGGATGTTGTTCATTCAAAGGAAGCAAGAAAGCAACGATTCATAAAGATTCACTTTTGCTCTGCATCATCCAGTGTCTGGCTTTATATTAGTACAATGTCTGCTAAATATTACACATCTGAAAACTACTGTCACTTGATAAATTTAACTTTTACATAAGAACCAAATTCTTTAGACATTCCAAAATATGTGTGTAAGTGGGGGGGTAGGGAATGGAGAAGGAGCCGTTGAAACATTGTGCAGATATGCATTTGATTTAATCCTGCTGTTGACATCATATGTCAGCCTCTAACCTCACCACCACCCCCCCCCCCCCCCCCCCCCCCCCCCCCCCCAACAATGGGATGGACACAATTAATTGGAAGGACTTACTGATCCAGGATGATAGCGTGAAATCACAAGTCCCGTGAGTCTTCTATCAGAAATCAATGCCAACGGTGTCTGTGTACTTCCTGCTCAAAGATGAACTTATGACCAAGTATTTTCCCTTGCCTAATGTTCACTTCTGAGTTTGAAGTAAGCCTCTGGGATTACGGCTTTTCATTATACAAAGTCTGGAAAAGTCTTCAGCACATTCTTGTGTGAGAAGCTCACTTGTAAATTGAAGTACACCGACTTTGCTCATAGTGTTATAACCTTCCACAACACCTCTTGAAAGGACCAGAAAAGTCCTCAACATGTTCTGCTGGTGAATTGTTGATCATATCTGAATGAGCCTCGATTTTCTCTAGCCAAATGTTCACTCATGAGCTTGAATTATGCGACAATAGAGAGCCCAGAGGGTTTTAACCTTTCACGACACTTTTCATAGGACTGGCAAAGTCCTCCATGTGTTCCGCTTACAATTCAATAATAGTTCTCCTATCAATGCCTGATGATGACCAATGCATCTGCAGAGGAGAATATTACTCTAGTAAAATAGAAAAATTAAAGACTAAGATGGCTTGTGGCTTCTACTAGGGCTAATTAGACCAACTCTCAAAGAGAAAAGTTTGCCACGTTTCGAGTATTCAGAAGCTACACATCCAAGTGGATGTGCGCAGCTTGTGGACATCTCTTTTGGTTTCGTGAAGTCCTTCAGAGATATTTTGGGTGTGTCTTTATTGCACTTACAGCGTTGGTTGACCATAGAAGAGGATGTCTTTGAGTCAAATATCTACTGGGAAAGGTTGACAATATGCAAACCTCTGCACAGGTCCTAAAGAGTCCAGACCTGTATTCACGGAGGACCTTCCAGAACAATTAGAGATAGCAAAGGGAGACTCTGTCCGTCTCGTGTGTTCCGCCGAAGGCCATCCTCCGCCATCGGTTCTGTGGCTAAAGAACGGCTTCCAGGTTGGCAAAGCCATGGATTGGTCCAACACACTGTCTCTCCCAAGTATCACAGAGTCCACTAACCTGGTCTGCCGAGCTACCAACCGAATGGGAAGTATCGTAACTGCTACAGCAGTGGAGGTCACAGGCCCTCCAGGTTGGTGTATTAGGATTTGGCCATGTGAAGCAATAAAGCATTGACCCCAGTTCCCTCTCTTTCTGTGCCTATGGAAGGCACCATTTTACTTAATTTGAGTCAAATGAAGGACAAAAGACTAAACATGGAGGGCACACTCAGTTATAGTGAGACTTGTGATTTCCCTTCATTTAGGTAATCCTGGCGGGCACACTTTGCACTGAAATAAATTGTTTTTGGAAAACAAAGAGATGTGGCCATGACTGTGCCCAGACTGACACAGTTTGATTTAAGTCTGTAGGCATAACAGGTTTTTTAAAACATAGCAAAAGAGGTCTCCCTGTAAAAGCTTCTAGCTTTTGCTTTTGGTTTCTCATGTTTTGTGGCATGCAATAGACATATTATTATAATTCATAGTGTAATGTTATAACTGTTTAATTCAAAGACATACTTTTTGATGATCAAACAAATTGGGGCCGATAATCATGTTTTTTTATAATCAACTTTATTGTAAGACCTTCGCACCACACGTAGTATATGTACTATGCATATATTCCACAACACCTTTTAAAAAACTGGATTTGTATGTATGTGTGTGTGTGTCAATTTGTATTTTTGTCTTCCTATCTGTCTGTGAATCTGTGTAGTCATTGATTAGATATATTTTTGGTTCAAGGAACCCTAGGAAGAGGAGAAGGAGGAGGAGGAGGAGAAAATGAGGAAAACATGCTGTGATTGGATTCATTAGTATATGGAAGTGGAGGAGGAGGAGGAGGAGGAGGAGGAGGGAGAAGGAGAGGAGAAGTAGGAGAAGGTGGAGGTGGGGGTGATGGTGGAGGAGCCTAGGAGGAGGAGAAGAAGGAGGAAGAAGAAGAAATAAACAAAGCCACATCTTCAGCACGCTTTCTATCCTCTGAAACTATGTTCAACACAAAGTAAATGAACCCTTTCGGTAAAGATTTTTACCAGATTCACTTTTAAAAAGTCAAATATCATTTGTATATTCAAGTGGATTGTAAGAGGGCAACACAGATTGTAAACCACGGTTTTTGTTCTGCCGTAACAGGTAAAAGACCTGAGTTCAATTCCTGCATAGGGAATTCTGTTTTGCTGAGTATCTCCATCTTCGGGTTTGGGAACTGTATCCTACTCAGCCAGATTGACTTAGATAGGCAAGTTCAAAGCAGCCCGCCCCCTAGATTATCAAGTTTGTGTCCGTGTCAGTGGGGCCATTCAGGGTTTACAATCCTGTTTATCGATCCCCACCAGTTACTCCTGCTCTTTCCCTCTCCCCCTCTTGTTTATCCACCCATTTTCCTCTAACTAGGTATTCTACTCTTCTGTTATGTTAAACCAGGATCTAAAAGCTGAGGCTCGTAGGCCATTTGAGGCCTGCAGGATGATACATTTAGCAACCCCAACTTGACATTAAAGTTTAGAGTTAGTGCGCCCGCATATTTCTCTCACACGTCAAATGTGGCTGAGCTTTGTAAGAGGGAGTGCTTTCAGGTCTTTGGCAGTAAGTAGTGAGTATAAAGAAAAGCTTATATTCTGAAGAACCATTCATATTCTGAACTTTTATCAACAAAGATTGAGAAGATTAGATCAATAAGTACTTTTTTAAAATACTTTTTTTTGGGGGGAGTGGAATACTTGATGCTGCCGAGGCTTCCCCAAGTGACGTCCAGGTTATTGAATCTGATACCCCGACTTTAACTGCAGTGAACCATACTATTAATAGTGCTTGTTGCATAGTCGGGCTATTCCTGCTAAGAACTCTTCCATTGTTACAAATTATAACAGCTGCTTAGGCACTAGGGCTGGGATTAAACGGGTAATTTGATACCCGGGCAATGAAAAAAATAACCGAGAACTGCCAGGTACCCGACATTTCAATTATTTTTTATTTTTTATTTATTTTTTAGGGGGGGCTGTGATTTTTCTTCTTTTTTGTTGTTGTTTTGTTTTGTTTTGTTTTGTTTTTTGTTTTTTACTTTAATATTATTTTCAAAATTAACACAAATTGGACACCACAAAGAAAGCGTACACAAAAATGAGGAATTCGACAAGACAATGGGTCTGTCAGAACTCTCAATTAAGTCAACGACTTGACTACTTAAACAAAAGGCAAGGAAGACAGACAAAACATATTACACGTGCTGGACTGGGAAAGAGGAGGCCAATCATTTCAATTTTTTGTTTAAAAACAAAAGTTTGTTTGCACGTTTTTCGCCATGGTAGGTCCTCTTTGATGATATCAATTCACCAGCCTTAAAGAACAGCCGTTCTGACGTCACAAATGTTGCTGGAATAGCCAAAAGCTTTTTTGCTTCCTGGTTAAGTTCCGGAAAGGCTTTTTCATATTGACTCCACCAGGTCAATGGATTGTTCTCTCCCCTTCTTGCCTGGGGCATCTCAAAGTACCGATTCAGTTGGACTATGGCACTTGTTTGAGGCAGAAACCTTTGCCTATTCTCCTCTGCTTGAATGTCGAAGGCTTGCACAATTACTTTGCAGGATGTTCTGTTTCAGCAGCTGAACCGATGATGAGCCTAATGTTTGATCGAGTCTGTCTCCTTGTTTGTCTCTAATCACTGAAAGAAGGCGAGTTTGTATTTTTTTCATTGCGCCTTCACTATAGGTCGAGGATAGTTGATGCTGCCACAGAATACGTGTCCTCGAGTTGTGGGAAGCGCTTGCGAAGCTCACTCTGTAAAAGAACTGCCAGTGGCCAATATTGATCGCGTACTGTATTGACTAAGAGAGCTCAGTATCGATAAGAACTCAGTACTTATTAAGGTTTGAATGAAGGAAGGTAACTTAAGTACATTTACATAGGATTTAACGAAGGGGAGTAGAAAACCCGGGTACCCGACATCAATACACGGGTAGCCAATTTTGTGCTCTTTACCCGGGTATACCCGGGTTACCCGGGTATACCCGGGTACTTGCTCAGCCCTAATAGGCACTGTAATTGAAGAAAGATTTTATTGCAAACAATTAAATGTGATTTGTTAGTGGTTGCTCTGGTGTGGTTTGCTCGTTTTTTACTATCAGACATCTCTTGTCCTTAACAATCTTCCTTCTTTTCCTTGTATGTTACTCTCTAATAACACCTCTATAACCTATTCATGTTGGAAATGGTGTAAAACTCTTACTAAACAGTAAAAGAACTAAACTCAAATGTAATTTTCTTGTTTTGAAGCTTTTCTATAAATATTTTTATGATTTAAAAAAAAATATGTTGTCATACACTCTTCAGGTGAACCCCTGGCTCTGCCTAAATTTATCTATCCTTTACCTGAACAACTGGACATTGATCGAGGCAAGAACTTGAAGCTCTTGTGCGGTGCTAGTGGAAATCCTATGCCCTTTATTGAGGTAAAGTAGAAAGATTTTAGTTAGTTTTTATTTTTTAATTTGGCACCAATTTTACAGTGTCATGCAAACTTTTTCAGAGTAAACGATGGGTATTCATTTTCTTTTTTTTTTGGTAGGTAGGAAGGAGGAGTGGTCATTATTTGGATTTTATTTGGAATATCTCTGAGCACAAAATTAATTTACCTCTTGAAATCATTGAGGATGTTGTTTTTACCTCAGCAACAACATCAAGCTATGTGTGGTCAGACCTTTTTTAAGGCTATAAATGCTTGGCATTTACCAAAGATAGTGAAAATAAAATAAGAGCACTGGAAATGTAGTTTCTAATGTGACTCATGAGAATTTCATAGAAGGAAACGAAATTAAGTGAGGAAGTACAGAAAAAAGCACAAGTGGGTTGCTCACTAATATGAACAATGAGGAAGCGATAAATACAGTTTCTAGGACACTTGAATGGACATAAAGGATTTGAACATCTTGCTCTCACTGGAAAAATTGAAAGCAAACGATGAAACGATGCAGGGGCAGACCCTGGGAGACTTATTTGGAAAACCTGAACAGATAATGACAGGGAAACACCAGCATAATACAGCTGGGGGTGAAGGGGGGGTTGGAGTGCATCCGAACAGAGAAATGGATCTAGAACCATGATCGCCAATGTTTGTTTTAGATGTGACACTTTATTACAATGAATGATAACAACTGGATTGGTTGGGGGGGGGGGGGGGGGGGGAGATTCTCAAGCACACAAATAATTATTCCCTTTAGCAATTCCTTTTAGCAGAATGATCGATCGTGCCGATCGCATCATTAACTCAGACGGTATCATGTTATCCTAGGGCTGGATGACCCATGTTTGAATCCCCATTTTCTTAATTTGGTTTGTTTTTTGGGGTTCTTAAGGCTGTCCTCCTACTTGTCTAAGTCACATTGGATTTGTAGTTTAATTTTGTTGGTCACATCCCTTAATAATAATATTTCATTTTTATAGGGCAAATCCGAGCTCTACAGCATGCTCTATGTGCTTTCCAACTGCATGTATTGTTAGCAAATCTTGGAACACTGAGAAACATCCTCAGTTTCTTGGGAAGCATACAGAGCAGGGTGGGGATTGCATGTGTTCCGTGCAATTTACCGATCTGCGCAATCTTAAGCTTTTTAATGGTGGTATAATTGTGCAGCAAGATATTTTTTTAAATACACTTCCATCTTTATTCTTTTACTCACATCAAGGAACATATTACCTTTTCCCTGCCACAACAACATTCCGGTAAAACCGCTTCGGTCACAACAACGCTGTTGCACATTTTGACATGTTTTCTTTGGCTATCTCGAGAATCGGAAATTTTTATCCAAGGGAAGTCACTGCAAGAAAAGCATGAAAGCATCCTTATTCTCTTCTGCATGCGTAGTACCATTGTGCCCCTTGAGCTGATCATTAAGGCAGGTAGCGCAATCTTAAGATGGCAGTGCAATTATGCGATGGTTAAAACGCAGTAAATTGCGCGGAACACATGCACCAAAAGACTGACAAATTGACATGATCACTGTCTATAGCCAGGTACCCATACAGGTGGGGAAAATTGGTGCAAAGTGCTTTTACCAAGGACATAACGTCGGGTCCCTAATGCGATTCAAAACACGACTTAACGGTTGAGAGTCCAAGAACCTATTCACAAGACCACTGATGCCATACTTTTTCTTAAATAATCTTACAGCATTGAAGTAGGTATTAAACCCATTCTGTTTACTATGAATAAACTTTATTGTCACACTTTTGGCACAGAAAAGTAATTCTGCCCTCATGCTACCTACAGGGTGATAAAAAAACAAAAAACCTTTACAACTTTTTTTCTAAATATCTTGCACAAAAACTGTCAAAGAATGTTGTAATTTGGAACAGACATAATTCATTCAATGGGAATATATTTGACATAAATCAATAAAGAGGATCTTATTTTTTTTAATGGATATTAGCTTTAAAAACACAGGTATACAAAAATTGCACTAATTTTTTTTATTCTTATAAGGGCGGTCAAGATGATGGAATGATTGATGTGATATTTGTCTTCCTTTATTCTTAAACATTTAATTTTTCCACCCCAGCGCTATTTAAATGATATCTCATTTCTCTTAAAGAGTTAAAGAACTCACATTTTCATTCTGGAATTCCTAGAAGCAGTGCGTTATATGTTCTCCTTTGGACTCAAGATATTTTAAAAGTATTGTTCGAAATATTCAATAGTGGCCAAACGCAAGGACCCATAAATCCATAAATGGTTAAAGTCACTGACACTGTAACCTTTCAGTATGGATTGGCTTCTGGAGACAGTAGGGGGTGGGTGGTTGCCCAATAAACAGCATTTTCTGGAATTTTTAGTTCTAATTCTCTGCTCTATAAATCCAAAATGACAGAACTTCTCTACCCATGACTACAAAGAAGTGCCATAGGGCACTACGGTATTTTTCCAATATCTAGTTTTGAACGTATGCAATGTCAGGGATAGTGAGTGGGTGGAGAGGTAATGTTCAATACAAAACACTCTCTGCTCTTTACTAAACTGAACAATTATCTTAGCAGGCAAAGGAAACTTGAGATAAACTATTCAGCAAACTTCTTTTGGCTTGTTAGACTGTTGTATCTTGCAATATGGTTTGCTTTTTGTGACTTTTGGTTGTAGGCCTAATGTAAACTGGTGTGCCATACAAAAAAATGGGAACAAGGTCCAAAATGGGTTGTTTTTGTATGTGCCATAACAAGCAAAACTTTCTAGTAGAATGATCTAAAACAAATGTCGGCCAAATTCCCTTTGAATTCCATATATTGTGATAAAATTTAAAGGAACAAAGCTTCAGGGTGAAGGGAAACTTATATCAAAAAAGTTTTGAAGAGTGAGGTTTTTTTCAGGGGGGGGGGGGGGGAGAGGGGGTTTTGGATCACCCTGTGCTTGACCTAGTCACTAACCTGCGTGTACTTGTTTCTGACACATCCCTTGTAGTGGTTCCAGGGTGGTGGTCCTGTGGGCAAGCCCATGCTGAAACAAAACGAGCTCAGTCTGAATGGTGTGGAGGCAAACACCGAATTAGAATGTATGGCAAGAAACTCTGTGGGATCTGTGAGCAAAATTATCAAAGTACAAATCAAGCCAGCTGAAGGTGAGTATAGGTGTTACCATTGGGAGGAGCATGATTTATACTTTTCTTAATCTGGATAACTTGATATTTGCTAGGGTTTTGTTTTTCTTCATTTTTATGTGTTTCGTTGTTCTTTTATTGCTGTTTCGTTTGCTTGTGGGTTTATTTGTGGAGGGTTTTTTGAGGGAGGGGGGAGGGGCGGGGGAGTCATGCGGTCCTCCAGTCTTGTTTACATTTTGATTTTGATTTTGCACTGAAGCAGTTTTGGTATTGTCTGATTGTTTGTTAGGGTTGTTTTATTTTGTTTTGTTTTGTTTTGTTTGAAGGGATGTTGTATTTTGTTTCATTATGTTTTTTGAAAAAAAAATGGGTAAGGAATGATTGAAAGTTGTACTCATCTGCATGTGTAGACCCATAATAATTTTTTTTTCAATTCAGGGGCATTTTGTCTCTTGTCCAAACAGTAGGTAGAGGTGAAATAAATCGGAGAGAGTATCTGAAAAATATTGGGGTTACAATAGATTTAAAACTTCCAAAAGCTGCATCAGGTTAAAACCAACGGCTTTGAAAGTGGACTTGTATATTTCCCAGCCGGTTGTGATCAGATCATTAATTATTATCAGAATCTTTACTCCTATGATCAAGAATGGATCCCTGTTAATCTGCTTCTGATCCTATGTGGTTTGGACTGATTTGAAAAAAAAAGAAACTTATGATTAAAAAAAGGAAAGGAAATAGTCATTTATTGTAGCTAATATTTAAACCCCTTGCTCACACAATGGAGACATTTTAAAAAAGCTAGAGCACTTGATCTCTTCTCAGAATGCCGAACTGCTAAGAGGAAATATTCCCAGAAAGACAAAATTCAAATTTCAATTGGAATCAAATCTTCAACGGCTACATAGCATTATATCTCAAGAGTTACTTCTTCACTGCAATAGGCAATGGAATTTTTGTTTTTTCACTTTACAAAAATGTGGGTTACAAGGTCAATATGATATTGTGGGAGGGGGAATCATCAAAGCAAACAACTGTTTCAATTGTAACTATACATTTGCCACTTCTTAAATAACAGTGCAGTTTTGCAAAGGATGTTGAAACCTCTACAATTTCGTAAAATAAAATGCACCTGTAGTTCACACCCAGTTTATTTTGCTTTTAAGCCAGGATGAACTATGTATTTCTTGAGGACGTGCTGTAATTTGTACAAATCTGAAAGCTATCACAATGCTATGTATTAATAGGCAACGTGAACTGTTCACATTATCCTTCCTTTTACTGAAACTTCAGTGATGAAAAATGCCAATCTCTAAATGTCGGCCAAATTCCCTTTGAATTCCCTATATTGTGATAAAATTTAAGGCACAAAGCTTCAGTGTGAAGGGAAACTTAGACCAAAAAAGTTTTGAAGTACATGTATTCCTTGAACTAATACCCAAAACACATTGCTGTAAGTTTTGTCAAATCTGTATTTAAAAGGATTTTATGCATTTGAGGGCAGCCAGACTTTCTTTCCTTTATGTGTGTGTGTGTTGGCGAGGGGGGGGGGGGGGGTTACCATTTGTGCATAATAAAAGCGCATTGAGCTACTTTTGTGGAAATGTGCTATATAAATGTTATATATTATTATTATTATTATTAATTTAATCAGACCTACAAAATTAATCATGTTTTATTTTCTAGGTCACGGTCAGATCCAGTTTGATTAAAACAGCTAATCGCAAGGCTAGTAGGTGTCAAATGACGTTGTGGGATTAGACCTTTTTATTTATGTACGGAATGGGATTGACCTCATTTTATTTTTACTTTACTTTTCCAATGGAGCAGCCATCTGAGTTCTAGCTCTTCAGCCTGATGGGTTTGGCCTTAATGGACTTCTGACAAAATTGAAGAGGAAAACAGTCATATCGATATAATGGGTGGCACTATAGTCAGTGCTTTTATCCGATGCTTCCCAATCTGATCTGATAATGCATTTGACCAATGGGCATTCTTTTTTACTCTATTGCTTTGACCCCTCTATACCAGCTTCCAAGTACCCTGTGTTTGTGAACAAACCACCTGAAAGACTCATCGTCAAGCGAGGTAAAGATGTCAATATCGTGTGCGAAGTGAGCAATGACCCACCAGCAATCGTAACAATTTTCAAAAACAACAGGCGAATCCCATCAAGGCGCAGACCCTCAAACAGAGTGATGTATCGGGAGCGGCGGGTAGCCAGGTTTGTACTTTTACCATAGACTTGAATTATATCCTAGACCATGTGCTGTCATAGCTGCCATTCGATGTTCTCAATGATAACGTTGCTGCAAAGTGTGTGAATTATATCCTGGATCCTACACTGTTATGGTTGCCGCTCTTTATTCTTTATAAAAATTTTGCTATGAAGCGTGCGCACCACGGGCACCATGTGAAGGGCAAAACACCAATCTCTCTATAGTCGTGCAATTGATGCACTCCCTCCAACCAAAATCCCTTTCCCTTATCTGGCTCCAAACTGATTCAACTGGTGAGCTCCATAATGTGCTGTAAGTATGTCAAGAGTACTCAATCTTGGATAGTAGAGGACAAATCTACAGTTTTTACTGTTAAAGTTTTATGCCCCCCACCCCACCCCACTCCCAGCCCCACCCCTAGTTTGTTGTACCCCAGTTTGTTGTAAGAGTAATGTCTTACCTCCATTTTAAGAGGTAAAACATCTGTTGTACGGTATGGTATGGTATGAGTTTATCTCCGCCTACTAAATGTTCTATATTGTGTCGATAGTGGTGTACAACACATATATTTAAACAATTTATTTCTGTATTGACTCCCCTTTCAACTCTCTGAGGTTGTCAAAGAGGAAGGAACTTTTATTCAACACCCATCTACCTTAGGATCTTTGACTTTTTTCGGTTTCTTGAGAAGTTCATACTGAAGACTACAAATGTTGATTAAACTATTTACCTGCCTTGCCTGTTGTGCTTATCTTTGTTTCATCTTATTTTGATTAGGTTGAAAGTCTGCACCATTTTTCAACACTTTTAGTTGTTTTTTTTAAAGAAACCACACAAAAATAAGTTGGTTCAAGTGGTTTAATATTCCTCAGCCAGTGAATTACTGGTACTAGAGAATTACTTAAGACTGTGAAATGACTTTCTCTGGAATAGCTGTGGAGAGGAATACGTGACGTCTGAATTTTTAATCAATAAGTGTCTTATCTTGTATACCAATTTGACCCTTCTCTATATCTGCAGACCATTTGCCTTTACGTGCGTTGCCCGGAACAAATTCGGCTCAAGTGAAGCCAGTACCTTTGTCCAGTTCACAGGTGAGGTTATTATGAGTGTTATGTGTATGTTTTGTTTTACTTTCAACCCAATGCAAGGCTAAATCTAATTGGTTATGGAGACAGGTTTGTGAGGGGAAATCAGTGTAGGGAATGAAATTCAAATCTAAGTTAGTTTAAACCAAATACTTTCATGTACCGATCAAATTCATCATCTCGTGTAACTTTATCATCATCATCATCACCATCATCATCATCATCATCATCATCATCATCATCATCATCATCATCATCATCATCATCATCATCATCATCACTTATGACTATAGCTCTCCAGTAAAAGAAGGGATATCAACAAACAAAAACTGCAGCATCATAGAGAAGACAAGTGTAAAAAAGTAAGTTGCAACCCCAACAAGAACAACAACAACAGCAGCAGCAACAATAAACATTAGCAGAGCTTATCATTTCATTCATTGTTTCAGATCAACAGGTGGCACCACCTACCCCGGTGGCTCCATCCCCACCTGACAGAGTTGTGATAATCCAAGGTGAACAGCTCAAATTGGCTTGTGCCTTCGATGGTAAGCCCGAACCTATGGTCACATGGTACAACGGATCGACGCCCATTGGCCAGGCTCGGCGCTACCAAAACATCCTCCTCCTCCCTTCTGTCGAAACATCCACAACCTTCAAGTGCAAGGGAGTCAATAATGCCGGCACTGCTGAGCAAACTGTGAAATTGACTGTCATATCTAGGCGTACGTAATTTGATGTCTTTTCTTGTCTTGCAGGGTGGTCACAACACTTGTTAGGTATTATGGTGAAATCAGGCACTCGTCAAAATAAAGAAATTGAAGAAACTAACCTTTCTACGCTCTTTTGGCAATATTTTTTTTTTATTTGGGGGGGGGGGGGTTTGGCTCAATACCTTCTGTGCCCATTTAAATCATATGTGTCACGACGCGGTGGAATCAGGTGCTCTTTAACTATTCGGCATGTGAAGTTATTGGTATCATCTGAAAGCTGATTTATTTGTCTTGTTTCCAATGAAATAAATATCTATTTATCTTGAATAGAACTCAAGATATTTGCCGATGAAGGAAGTGAGGTCGCCTGGTTTCAGTGGTTAAATTAACGAGAAAATGGCTGCCAAAGTTTGGTAGCTCCAATAGTTAAATAAAAAGTCTGAAAAATGACATATTTTGGGCCTTTAATCAACGTTTTTCAGTAAAATTCACCTGGAAATGTGTTTTCATGTTGGCACTAAAGAGGTTAAGCCAAAAAATAAAAATTCGATAAATATGTCCAATCTGACGGAAAAGTGCCTGTTTCTTCAATTTCGTTATATTGACGAGTGCCTGATTTCACCACGCTGCCTCACATATATTTATGGATGGATTTTACTGAAAAATGTAAATTTTCTATTTCCAAGGACCCTTACGCTTTGGAAGTCACTAAAAATTTGGCAGCCATTTTTTCAATATTTTTACATCTGACCTCAACTCCTTCCATAAGAGATACCCAAATTCTATTCAGGATAGATGGATTTTTTTTCTCACAGAAAGCAAAACAAATGAATATGCTTTAAGATGATACTATAAACTCCATGTAACCAAAAATTGACCAATGCACTGAATTCTGGTCATTTGACAAAGATGGAAGACTCCATTATTTTTATAGCTTTTCAGCAGGCTGAGGAGTAGCTGAGTAGTACACTGCTGTTGAAATGGTACATTTCTTATTGGATAGTGCATATGGTGTGTGTGTGTGTGAGTGTGTGTGTGTGTGTGTGTGTG